TGACATTTTTCGACATGCTATAATATGACATTTTTTCAACATATTATGTTAAGACGTTTTTATTTTCAGTTTTTTCGACATACTGTACTATTACAATTTTTTTCAACATGCTATACGATGACATTAACAATCTGACATTTTTCAACATGCTATACTATGACGGTTTCTTCAGTTTTTACAACATGTTATACTATGATATTTTTTCAACATACTATACTCTGACTTTTTTAAAAAAATAATAATTCGACATGCTATACTATGACATTGTTAACAGTTTTTTCGACATGCTATGCCATGACATTTTTTTTCCAGTTTTTTCGACATACTAACCTATGACGTTTTTTTTTTTTTTTTTTTACATGCTATGTTATGACATTTTTTCGACATATTATACATTACGTTTTTCAGTTTTTTTTCAACATGCTATACTATGACATTTTTTTCAGTTTTTTCCGGCAAGCTATACTATGACATTTTTTTGAGTTTTTTTGACATTATACGATGACATTTTTCAACATACTATGACGTTTTTCTCATTTTTGTTGACATGCTATATTATGACAACTTTGTCGGTTTTTTCGACATACTGACCTATGAAGTTTTTTTCAGTTTTTTTTTGACATGCTATACTATGACGTTATTAATATTTTTCAACATACTATACTATGGCATTTTTCGACATGCTATGCTATGACATTTTTTCGACATAGTATACATAACGTTTTTTCAGTTTTTTTGACATGCTATACTATGACGTTATTAATATTTTTCAACATACTATACTATGGCATTTTTCGGCATGCTATGCTATGACATTTTTTGACATACTATACTATGACATTTTTTGGCATACTATACTATGATGCTTTGTTTTTTTAAAATTCAACATGCTACACTATGTCATTATTAACAGTTTTTTCAACATACTATACTATGACGTTTTTCTGTTTTTTCAACATATTATACTATGACATAGTTTTGTCAACATACTATACTATGACATTTTTTTGACATACTATACTATTACGATTTTTCAGTTTTTTCGACATGCTATACCATGACATTATTAATATTTTCCAGCAAACTATACTATGACATTTTTCGACATGCTATTCTATGACATTTTTTGAAATACTATACATTACGGTCCATTGTGGTGAAAAGGGAGCTTAGCCAGAAAGCGAAGTTCTCGATTTACCGGTCGATCTACGTTCCAGCCCTCACCTATGGTCATGAGCTCTGGGTAGTGACCGAAAGAACGAGATCGCGAGTACAAACAGCCGAAATGAGTTTCCTCCGCAGGGTGGCTGGGCTCAGCCTTAGAGATAGGGTGAGGAGCTCGGACATCCGGGAGGGACTCAGAGTAGAGCCGCTGCTCCTCCACATCGAGAGGAGACAGTTGAGGTGGTTCGGGCATCTGGTAAGGATGCCTTCCGGACGCCTCCCTTGGGAGGTGTTTCGGGCATGTCCAACCGGGAGGAGACCTTGGGGCCGCCCCAGAACACGCTAGAGGGACTACATCGCCCGGCTGGCCTGGGAACGCCTCGGGGTTCCCGCGGAAGAGCTGACGGAAGTGGCGGGGGAGAGGACTGTCTGGGCTTCTTTGCTGAGGCTGCTGCCCCCGCGACCCGGACACGGATAAGCGGAGGACAACGACGAACGATCGATCCATGCTATACTATGACAATTTTTGACATCCTATACTATGACTTTTTTTGACATATTATACGATGACTTTTTCGACACACTATACTGTAACATTTTTTGACATCCTATACTATGACTTTTTTGACATACTATACTATGATATTTTTCGACATACTGTACTATGACATTTTTTGACATCCTATACTATGACTTTTTTGACATATTATACGATGACTTTTTCGACATACTATACTGTGACATTTTTTGACATCCTATACTATGATATTTTTCGACATACTCTACTATGACTTGTTTTGACATCCTATACTATGACTTTTATTGACATACTATACTATGACATTTTTTGACATACTATACTATGACTTTTTTGACATACTATACTATGTTATTTTTCGACATACTGTACTATGACTTGTTTTGACATCCTATACTATGACTTTTTTTGACATACTATACTATGACTTTTTTGACATATTATACTATGACTTTTTTGACATATTATACAATTGCTTTTTTGACATATTATACTATGACATTTTTGACATACTATACTATGACTTTTTTGACATACTATACTATGACATTTTCTGACATACTATACTATACTATGACTTTTTCGACATACTATACTATTACTTTTTTGACATACTATACTATGACATTTTTTGACATACTATACTATACTATGACTTTTTCGACATACTATACTATGACTTTTTTTGACATACTATACTATGACTTTTTCGACATACTATACTATGACTTTTTTGGCATACTATAGTATGATGTTTTTCGCATACTATACTATGACATTTTCAACATTCTATGACATTTTTTGACATACTGTACTATGACTTTTGTGACATACTATACTATGACATTTTCTGACATAATATACTATGACATTTTTGACATACTATGATTTTTGTTGACATCCTATACTATGACATTTTTTCAACACACTGTATTATGATATTTTTTCAACATACTATACTATGACTTTTTTTTTGACATACTATACTGACATTTTGTTCAACACCTTATACTATGACTTTTTTGACATACTGTACTATGACATTTTTTGACATACTATACTATGACTTTTTTTGACATTCTATAATATGATATTTTTCGACATACTGTACTATGACTTTTTTTGACATATTATACTATGACATTTTTTGACATACTATACTATGACTTTTTTGACATACTATACTATGATGTTTTTCACATACTGTACTATGACTTGTTTTGACATATTATACTATGACTTTTTTGACATACTATACTATGACATTTTTTGACATCCTATACTATGACTTTTTTGACATATTATACGATTACTTTTTTGACATACTATACTATGACTTTTTTGACATATTATACTATGACATTTTTTGACATACTATACTATGATATTTTTCGACATACTGTACTGTGACTTGTTTTGACATATTATACTATGACTGTTTTTGACATATTATGCGATTACTTTTTTGACATCCTATACTATGACATTTTTTGACATCCTATACTATGACTTTTTTGACATATTATACGATTACTTTTTTGACATACTATACTATTACTTTTTTGACATACTATACTATGACTTTTTTGACATACTATACTATGATATTTTTCGACATACTGTACTATGACTTGTTTTGACATCCTATACTATGACTTTTTTTGACATACTATACTATGACTTTTTTGACATATTATACGATTACTTTTTTGACATACTATACTATGACTTTTTTGACATACTATACTATGACATTTTTTGACATACTGTACTATGACAGTTTTTGACATACTATACTATGACTTTTTTGATATACTATACTATGACATTTTTTGACATACTATACTATGACTTTTTTGACACACTATACTATGACATTTTTTGACATACTGTACTATGACAGTTTTCGACATACTATACTATGACTTTTTTGATATACTATACTATGACATTTTTTTGACATATTATAGTATGACTTTTTTGACATACTATACTATGACATTTTTCACATACTATACTATGATATTTTTCGACATACTGTACTATGACTTTTTTTGACATACTATATTATGACTTTTTCGACATACTATACTATGACATTTGTTGACATACTATACTATACTACGACTTTTTCGACATACTATACTATACTATGACTTTTTTGACATACTATACTATTACATTTTTAGACATACTATACTATGACTTTTGTGACATACTATACTGTGATATTTTTTGACATACTATACTATGACATTTTTTGACATACTATACTATGACTTTTTTGACATACTATACTATGATATTTTTCGACATACTGTACTATGACTTGTTTTGACTTACTATACTATGATTTTTTTGACATACTATACTATACTATGATATTTTTTGACATACTATACTATGACTTTTTTTAACATACTATACTATGATTTTTTGACATACTATACTATTACATTTTTCGACACACTATACTATGACTTTTTTGACATATTATACTATGATATTTTTCGACATACTATACTATGACTTTTTTTGACATACTATGTTATGATATTCATTGGCATACTATACTATGACTTTTTTGACATACTATACTGTGACTTTTTTGACATAGTATACTTTGACATTTTTTGACATACTGACATTTTTTGTCATACTATACTATGACATTTTTTGACATACTATTCTATGACTTTTTCGACATACTATACTATGACTTTTTTTTGACATCCTATACTATGACTTTTTTTGACATACTATACTATGACATTTTTGACATACTGACATTTTTTGACATACTGTACTATGAATTTTTCGACATACTATTCTATGACTTTTTCGACATACTATACTATGACTTTTTTTGACATATTATACTATGACGTTTTTTGACATTATTCTATGACTTTTTCGACATACTATACTATGACATTTTTTGACATACTATACTATGACATTTTTGAAATACTGTACTATGACTTTTTTGACATACTATACTATGACATTTTTTCAACATCCTATACTATGACTTTTGTATATTATGACTTTTTTTGCATACTATACTATGACAGTCTTCATTACTTCTTGTAATGTCACGCCTTTTTTGGCATACTATACTGTCATTGTTTAGCATGCTATAGTATGACTTTCTTACGGCATTAATGTAATTTAAAAAACATTTTTATTGCAAACTACATGACACAACATGACTTGTGTACAAACCTGTAGCATGGTGTGCTTAAGCAAAGCCCTGCACCTCTGTAAGTGCGTTAGTCAGACACAAGGACAGAGCAAATTCATTTTACTTCATTTATTAAAACATTCCAATATAAAAGAAAATTACACATTTCTGAATTCCGTTATGTACAAAAACATACATTCTTTAACATCTACACACAGTTTACATGGTTGTTTGTTCACTGCAAGCCTCCATCCAGCTGTGGAGGATTCAGATTTACAGTCACAGGCTCGTTCAGCCTTTCGGCTAGCTGCAGCTTAAATTAAGTAGCCGTACAGTTCATATTTCTTTTAAAAAGGCACTAAGAAAGGTCTGGCTAGTGTACAACATTTAATGAGGAACTGTAATTGAACAACAGGTGTCACAGAGCAAAATCATAAATAGCTTTTGCCTTTGGCAGCGATCAAACAGAGCTCTTTCACCACTGAAGATTTGTTTTTTTACATATGGTACATTTTGTTTTTACATACTAAGGCTTATCAATAAATACAAGCACTTAAAAATGAAAAGCAAAAACTTTGCACAATCATGTGCAGTTTTCCTCTGCAAGTCAAGTTTCTCAGGAATGTAACAAGAATGTGCAACCAGGTTGCAACTATAATCACGATTTAACAAACAAAAAAAAAGGGAATTACTGAGCCAAACAAACAGGTCAGGTGCGTTCGAAAACACCTGCAGGTTTCAGGATGTTTAACAGCAAATAAAGTGTCTTGTTCGTGTGGCTCATATAGCAAAACAGAGCAGACATGCTGTGTAATCACATTGTTTCTTTGCTGCGATGATAACACATGCAGATCTGCAAATTCACACACAATGTGAATTTAGGAAAAAATGAACTTTCCTCCAGTTCAGAGTAGGATGAAATATTTGTTGCAGAAAATGAGATTCCTCATTTTCATTTTCCTGAGAATCCGACTGAAGCACCATCTGAAAGCATTTTAGACTCGATTTCAAGAATAGCACCAGTGAAACTCCCAGATCACCTAAAATGTTCCGTTTCCTCTCAAATCAATTCCTAAATTAATTTTTAAAAAAAAGAAAAGAAATAAAAGTCAACTGAGAACTGCAATGCCTGACAACTTCAATGAACTTTTATAAAAAATACCGACAGGAATCAGATTTAGTGTTTTAAAAAAATAAAAACAAGCTACAGGAAGTTGCCTTTTCCTAAAATCCTGTCCCGTTTGGTGAGGAGCTGATGTGGTCAGAGAGGTCACTTCAGGTCAGACGGTGGGTAGAGGTAGCATGTCCTCGCTGATCTGTGTCCTGCTCAGTGATTGGCTGGTTTCTCTGCGCTGCTGGGCGGAGTCAGGGTAGCTCCCATGGCAACGGGTGACAGCTGACATTCAAGGTTGTCGAGCCGACAGTCCTGAGATTTTCTCTGCAGGAGAGAAATAATTGTTAGGAAGGAAGGATCGCAAAACAATATTTTTACAACACAATCAGGCGACTTTTTAACATTGATGACCGTAAATCTTTCACAGTGAATTTATCCTGCTTTTACGTGCAGAGAACACGCAGTCATTGGTGTAACTGAAGCTTTGACATCAGTGTGTTGCATATGTGAAGTGACGGATTTAAACCCAACACTCTGGTGCCGTTAGTGTCGTGCTCAACAGTAACACGTGGTATTGTCTGTTAACTTGGAACAAACATTTTTAAGCCTGTGTGAAGGAACAGAGTCATTTTACTCCTCCAATCAAACTGTGCTACTTTGGTGAGTCACATCAACTATTTACTTATAAAAAAAAATAATTTAACCCCACTTTAAAAAAGGTTATGTCACATTTCAAGTCGGCTTGATACAATGGCTTAGTACAGGAAGTAATGAGGATATGATAAACGAGACTTGGACTAAACTGCACAATTTTGGAAATGGATGTTTTGCTGTTGTTAAACTTGCCCCCCTTTTATTTTGATTAAAGAGATATTATACCATTTTTTGATTCTTCGTTCACAGTGGAGGCATGCAACAGTTTATTCAAATTCATCGTAGAGCACGGTGACTAATATTCAGATGTTCATTTTGTGGGTGAAGGATTCTGTTAAGTACAAAAATGTCACAGTAGACTTTGTCCTCTCTTCTCATGAGCTTATTTTGTTGAACGCCTGATGTTTGTTTTATGTATCCCTGAATTTGTAAAGTGTCTTTGAGTGTCATGAAAAGCGCTATATACGTATAATGTATTATCACTGTGGCTGTGGGCTCAGTGATGAACTTGTTTTTGACACAGGTTGAAGAGTGCATCGAGTATCGTTAAACTGATGAATTTTGGTTGGAGATTTCCCGATTTTAAAACCTCAACAGCAGTGTGTGTTCATTTTGCTCACCAGCAGATCCAGATAAGCCACGTGTGTCTGGATGTTGTGTCGGGCGTCGGGTTTGACTTTGGAGAAGTTCTTGAGTTGAGGAGTGGGTTCAGACCGCAACACGTCCATGAAGGGACTCATCCACCGAACACAAGGAGCCACGCCGTCCCACGTAAGGCCTGACAGAGACACGCACAGAGACAGGGAGAGGACTGTGAGGTTAAATCTATAAAGTGAAGTTTCAACTCCAGTAACATGCAGCTTTTACTGACTGAACTCTTTTCTAATTTATCAAAAAAGATAAAAGCCTGTTAAAAATAGCTTTTAATAGCTTTAACACACACCGCTCAGGGAGGGTAACCAGACTCACCTGAGACTTTATGAACGACATCAAACGTAGAGAAGTGGCAGAATGCAGCTGCAGCCAGAACACTGTAGCTGTAGTCCAACGAGTTGATATCCAGCATACACAGGTCCAACAGCTGTAACACACAGGGGTCAAAGGTCAGTGAGGTTTGCTCTTAAGAAGCAACACTTTCTTCTTTTTATCCAGTGTGTTAATGATGCAGGTGTGACGGTACCTGTGTGATCCGGATGTACATTTCCTGGGAGAACTGCGGCACCAGGAAGTTCTCTCCGTCTGTCTGAGCTTCCACCTGAGCGTACAGCTTCAACCAGGAGATGGGCGTCTCTGGACACAGTTCCCAGTTTAATGCCTGCAGGACGACAACGACATCATACAGGTCAACACAAAGAGAGACAGCGAGCACCACGCAGGTTTACGTCCATCCTTTCTCTGCTCTGGAGATTTTTCTGGAGCAAACCGTTTCTAAAAAACTGAAACTGTTCTTTAAAGTTATGAGGACTTGAATCTTATTTAAGTAACTGGAGACCCATCTGGCCAAACTGTAAAATTTGTATTCTGGCACATCTCCATAGTGTAACTGTGCTTAACTTTCATTACATACGGTCATTTCTTAAGCTGATGTAGTCTGTGAACAGTGTGCTCCGTCTTACCTTCAGTAGGTGAAGCTCTGTGCGCTGGATGTCACAAATGTCACAGGCTCCGTCTGTGACATAGGCGAAGTCTACGATTTTAGGAGGGTAGATTTCCTGAAGAAATGAGAACAAAGTCATTTAACAGACAACTCATAAAACATTTGGTGCATTGATTTTGATTTATACGTTAGGCTACAAATTAAATATGTATTAGTCATTTATTCTGTTGTAGACAGGAGTCTTGTAACTGACTGGATCTTGTGCAGTAATTACATTTTTTTCTGATGCAATAAACATCAGACATAGAAGTTGTTTCTGTGTCGTCTCCCTGTGTGAATGAGCCTGTTTCATTTTATTTTGCACAATGACAATAAAGGATTTCTGTTCTATTCTTTATTGTAACATCTGAATATGTATACATGAGGCTTCGGGGTATTTAGAAATCCAGACGCTTCTTTCTATCAAACTAATGCAAAGAGGCTGTGCCGAGGTGATGCAGTGCACATCACACACTACCAGAGGTCAGTGTCTGCTGGTGGAGCAAGCAGCCAAGATGGTGACTTCAAGTGGTGGGGATAACGCTACAGGACCAGTAAACGCCAGCCAGCAACAGTGGAGAGAGACAACCAAGAAATAAAACACATTTTTACATCTGACTCATGAGTTAAAGGTTTATTTCGACCAAACCAGAGTTGATGAATGTTGGAACAGTGGAAAGACGAACTAAGACGGAATGAAGCGTGTTTGACGACGAAGGCTAACAAGGTTATCCTAAGCCCTTAAACACTGCCTGTTCAAGGCAGGAACTTTGTGCCGTTATTAAGCTTCAATGTTTTGTATAAAAAGGTACGATTGTGGAGTTGGAGGGTGGCAGATGTCTTTTGTTTAAGTCGGCAGCGAGTTAGTAACAGCATCAAAACAACATCTGTGTAAAATGGACAGCCGGCAGGTCATGGAAAGGACAGGTGTGACGATTTCATGACGTGTGCGACCGGCTTTCAGAGATTTTAAAAGTACCCGGGAGCAGTTAGCGGCTAACTCAAAGAAGAACGGCAGCTAAAAATGTCCGCAAATTGGGGAGACAGACACTGATGTCCAGGAGTTCCTTACCCTCTGAGCAGAGGATGAGATCAGCCAATATAAAAAAGTAAATGATTGTCATTGCCGTGTTAATGCCACTGTTATCGTTAATGTCGTGTTCATCATGACTCTTGGTTGTGGGATGCCAGTATGCAGTTTAAAAATCACACCCTGGAGCTACATGATGCAGCTGTTGTTTTGTTCTGTGTAAAAATGTAAAGACGGGACTCCATCTGTCGCCCCATATCTGTGTAAGAAGGTCCTCATAAACTTGTGTTCTAGAAACTTGGTTGTATCTTTGTGTTTAATGTGGAACGTGGGTGTAAGAACAATTCCTTTCTTGACAATTTGAGAGTTTATGAATCTCAGAGAGCCTGTGGAACGTAGCAACCTTGCTACTCGTACTCATCCAGTTGAAACTACGGGGCTAGTCAGATGGAATATTTTAACGTATTGCCCAGCCTTAGACTTCTGTCACTGGCAGCTCAGCTTTCACATTTTGTTTTTAAACACAAATATTGTATACCCTGGTAAAATGTCAGGAAGGTATGAATAAAATAGATCCCATCGCAGTCTAGCGTTCACTGAATTCTGATTTCATCACTTATAAAATCATAATCATACGTCTGAGTTCAACACGTCTGGAATCAGTATGCGAGTGATTCTGTGGGTGGATGTCGAGAAGGGGAGGACGAGGAAGGACTCACCTCTATCTTGGAGGCGATGAAGAGCGCAGTGATGCCGATGAGCTGCAGGTAGTCTTTGTTGACGTTCTCCTGAGTCAGCATGAAGCGGTCGAAGAAGTCCTGAGCGAGGTAGGCCGTCTGCCGGTGGAGGGAGTACACCTCACACACCTGCACACACACACAGAAAGCTTTACACACTGGCCGACTGTTTAAGATGGTGTTTATCTTAAAATGTTTTTTCAGTGAGTTTATAATACAGAGGAAGTTTTCAGTCGACCCACCTCGAGCAGCCAGTCCAGTAGAATCGCTCTCATCTTGGGCTGCAGTTTGGGATGCCGCTGCATGTAGCTCTTGTCGTGAACGTACTTCAGCTCCTTGTTGAGCATTTTGATCCACACGTCGTCTGAGCTGGCCCAGCTGGAGGAAAGAAGAGAAACACTATTGTTCATCTGTTGTTTAATTCTTCTTAACCCTTTGCAGCCTGAGTACACTAGCCATGTCTTTCAAAAACACAGAAGACGGTGATGAGCACAGAGAAGAAATGACCTAAAAAAATTGCAAGAAATTAGTAAAAAGAAAAAAAATCTAAATTAAAATTAAAATGAATTTTGTACAAGAATTTTTAATATGTAATAAGAATTATAAATAGTTTCCCCCCCCCCCTAGATATTTTTTTACAGTTTGTTTCTGGACTTTGGTCGGATAAAAACGGACCATCTGAAGACGTCACCTTAGGCTCTTGAGAAGTTACACAGCACGGCATGTTTCACTATTATCTGACTTTTTAAAGGATGAAAGAACTGGTAGATTAATTGATGATGGAAATAACTTTTAGCTGCAGCCTGAGTGTTTTGTTCTTCTTCTTGAGTTTGTGTAACTTTAAAAATCAGGTTCATACCGAGAACAAACCTGAGTCTCAATCTAAAAAATAATTCACTGTGAACGAGGACATTAACCTCTGAATACAGAGCCGGGTGGAGGTGATGGCACAGCCTCGTTCAGGTGTGAAACTCACACACTTACCTGAGGCGGGGAATAGGAGAGGCCTTGATGAAGAGGTTCTTGAATCTGTACTGCTTGAAGCTGGACGGATCTGCAGGCTCCAGCTCTTTGTGGGGAGTTTCGATGAGAATGCACGGACTCGCTCCGTCTTCTGACCAACACTTCTGAACAGAGACAGAAACACACAAAAAGGTGAACAAAGCAAGAGACTGAGGCAGGCAGTGTGGTCAACAGGACAATGTCTCCATCAGGATCGTGATCTTACATTACTCTATAAATACATTTCTGGTCGTTACTGAACATTTGGGCTGTTGTGTAAGCACCAATAGTCAACCTTAAGATATTGTCACAATATTGATAGAGTTGTAAGGTAAAGAAAATATAATGCTATGGGAATTTCTTCTTCTGTGATTGTTGCTTTAACCTCCATTATAATTATTATAGTTTTTTCTGTGCTTATTGTAAAGCATGTCAAGTTTACCTGTAATTAAATCTGCTGTAAATAAAGTGTAATCTACTGTGAACTCCATTTTCACATCAGGCTAACTGGTGACACCTCGTGGTGAAAATGAGGCAGTGCAGAAGCTTGAGTCACTTGAACCTGACCTCACATCATCATCATCATCATCATCAACATCATCAACATCATTATCATGAAGATGATCTGATATGACGAGAAGCTCGGGCTGCTCTGTTCAATACAGATGAGTAGGAGACAACAGGATAAAAAAAAGACAGATATAAATAAAATATCCAGCACACTATGGATGAGTTATGGTATACAAAATGGATGCTCCCTGTCTCTCTCAGGACTACTGACCACAAGGCTTTTCTGTAAATTATACACAAGTTCACTAAAAGTAGATGCAGTAAATGGGAGGTGACACTGAGAGGGAGGAGGCACCAAACAGATAATAAACTACTAACAACACATCCCAGTTTCAGCTCTTATCAGTCACACACACACAATCATTCAGAGTTAATGACATGTGGACACACTGACCTGTATTTCATAGCTTTGTTTCTTGGCAGCGGGTTGTAGTTTTTTCTTGGAGGGCTGGAGGAGAAAATAAAAATAAACTGGTGAGTTGTGACAACAAGATAATAAAAGTCTAATAATGTAAGAACAGATTACAGATGGCTTCACAGTAAGGTATTAAAACATTTAAAATTAAGCGAGATATGCATCTGGAATCATATGAACGTATTAAAAAACACAAACCTCTGATTTTCTTTTCCTCAGCGGGGCTCTGACGGTCGGCTCAAGTGTGTTTGAATCTCTGGCTTGCAAAGTGATGCGGCCGCTGTATAATGAAGAATAAAGAACATCAGCTTCACGGCTGTAAATTCAGACAGTAAGTCAGTTTTGGTTTTGTCTACAAGGAATCACATTTTGTCAATTGGCACAAGTCGGTTTGGATTACAATATACGGCAGAGCTGAGTTCATCACATTTACTTTAAGTGGATTTCATGAACTCAAAAGTTGAATCAGTTAATTTTAACGAGTTAAAGAGGTTTTTACATGACTGAAACTAAACAGAAGTGAATATTTTAACTCTGAAGTTCAGTGAAATCATGTTGTAGGGCTGCCCTGAACACCAGTTTTGAGGGAACGAGGCTTCAGTGATATTTCATCGAAGCATCAGAGGAGAAACTGGACGTCAGCTTTCAGTCATTGCACCTTGAATAAAGTCACAACTTGCCACCTTGTTAGCATGCAGGCTGCACATTAGCAGCTAGAAGCTAGAAAATAAAGAATACTTGGTTGTATATTTGTAATATGCCAGTTTTGTTTGGCAGATCTGGCACTCAACATTTTGGGGGTTTTTGAAACCATTTGACATCTTGCTAGCGAATCTGTCAGCCTATCACACGGGGGTTAAACGGTCGGAGTCACAAAGCTAGGTCTGTCACCAAGTTTAAATGTCCTTGCCTCATTTGGGGATGTTAGACCACTGTTTCTCAATTTATGGGGCTATTCTGGGTAAAACGGCACATTTGAGTACTGATTTGAAGATCCATTACCATGGCAATGATCAAAGCATTCAGATCAGTCGTACATATTGGAGACAATGTGATCCTTGAGTTATCATTCTACAAATGTCTACTGTTCTGGATCAAGATCAAGTGAAAACTGACAAAGTCATGTTCTCTGACAGTGCACGCATATGGCATTATCGATATCAGAGGATACAACTATAATTAAGATTTCCTTTGTTTATCACTTTCACTGCGCACTTCACTGGTGGGTCACGGGTCCATTCTGAATGGACCACAAGTGACTCACGAATGTGTCAAGTTTGTAAAAACACTTTATTTTAAAGTACAGTAAATTTCCAGGACAAAGTCATTTTTTGAAGTGCGGTTTCTTGTCTCCTCAAAAGGAGACAGCAAACTAGCTCCACAACATAGCAAAATGAAAGTATGACCCTCAATGTATTAAACTGTGTGGACCTTGAACTGATGACTAAGGAGAAATCTGGACCTGTGGCTGGACCAGTTGGAAACCACTGCTCTACAAGACTTAAACAGTGCAAGTCAAAAATAAAATGGCTGCATAACAATAAGTAGATAAAAGTCATAATTCAATAAAGTTATAAGCATCCGTAATTAAAATCTATAAAGTGCATGATACTGTAACGTTGTAATTTCTGCCCCATCACCCAACAGATCAAGTTAAGACTAGGACTATTCCTCTCTCCCCTGAGGCCCCCTGTTGGCCCCCACACCCCAGTCTGAGAACCCCCACCACCACCAGCAGCAGCAGCAGCTGCTTACCTGCGTCTGGACATTGTGTCAACTGTATTTATGGCTCCGCTGTAAAGAAAAAGACAACAGGTGAGATTCTGATGTAAAAACTGCACATGTACAGACACTCAGACACATGGACCACAGATAGGATGAGACTTTAGGAAGCTTATAGATATATAATTAACCCTGGAGCCATTTCATGATCTCTTAGTGGGTCCTGGGGCCAAGCTGTGAAGCCCCTGGGGCCCAGTAATCACCAGTACACACCATGTTAGAGGTCACTGGTGTGTGCTCCCCTGGTGAGGATGTGTAAGCCTCAATAGGCCACAATGTATTATATCAAGTTAAAGTAGCTCCTGGAAAGTCCTGGAGGAACCACAAAGGCTCTTGGAGGCCCCCAGACCCCCAACATGTAACAGACTCAGTTTGAACCTGATGTAAGTTAGCTTGAGACAACAGACACAGGTTAGCTTGTGACCACCAGTGAGGAGAACCAAAGTAGCTTAAATCACACACACATGCTCCACTAACAGAGCCACAGCTCCACATGTGAAGATGATGATGAGTTTAATTTCATATTAAATGAGTGAAACAGATGAAACTGAGACTACAGAGCCAGACTCGCCATTCAGGCTCTGTGAGCTAGTGTGGTGACTGCAGCTAAAAAGGAGGGGGGCTGCTTGCTCCCTCGATTTCAAACAAAAAAAGCTCAAAAATGCTTCATTTAAACCAAAGTTTATCCTCTCCGGTGATTAAACAAACATCTCCAGGCGACATTAGCGCACTTTGACTGTATGAAAACGGTCAAATATGGACTTTATTTCAGGATTGAAACTCAAAGACGCGCCAATTTCCGCAGCTCAGAAGCGGGAGGATTTGAGCCCTGCCTCCGCTGAACCTCCTCCAGGTCTGGGGGGGAAACTGGGACAAATGGCCGCTAAATATGAACCATACTGACTTTAAACTACCGCCAACTGCTGCAACACACTCCTGAGGACCACAAATCTGAACACACACATTTAGAAAGTGCATTAAAGTTGGATAAACTGAGACCACCGCTAGGCTAAGCTGTGGAGGGGGAGCTACAGTAATTAGCAAACCTAGCCGGGTAACTGCTAACTAGGTCAACAATAACCAGCTCAGACCGATGTGCCCATAAACCGCTGCTCTCCTGCTTTTACACACCAACTGATCAATATGTGCTTGATTCAGGGAAACAGGCAACACAGAGAGGGACGAACAGAAAAAGCACCTTTCTGAGAGTTTTAAAGTTACAAGAGTAGCCTCAGTGTTCGCAGATTAACTCCATTAAAACCACTAATTCTCCTTAAAACACCTCCAGGATAACATGCAGCAGTTAAAACGAGGTACAGCAGCTCACACTAGCAGAGGAAGCTCCTTAAAATAAGGTGGAACATAAGTAAAATCTAAATATGGCTGCAGTGGTTCACTCGCCCAGGCTTGAATCTGGACCAAACTACGTCGGTAAAACAGATATTTAAGATGGAAACATAAGAAACAAACTCCATGAAGATACAAACAGAGATAAAATGACATATATAAGTGTAAATGTGCTCTCCGGCTCGGTGGTCTTACCTCCTCTGTGGTCAATGAATGAATGCATCAGCTGTGGCGCCGGCGCCAATCCTTATATCCGCATAGGCCTGCCGCTGCCTACTGCGCATGCTCGTTCCCGGTTCACAGAAACGCGCTAAATGTTCAAATTTCCACCGAGATTTTGACGAATGGAAAACACCGGCGGCTTTAACGGTGATTTATTTACTCCTCTCTTGCGTATAACGGCTTATTGGAATCATCAGGACGCATTTAACGGGGTTATTCGCCGCGTTTCACCGGAGCTTACATTCATTTCTAACGGACACCCAGTCCCCGCGAGGTTTTTTAAAGCAAACACCGATTTCCGGTTATTCCGGTTGAACTTAAACGACTCGGTACACGCTCACACATCACCCCGCGTCAGAAACGCTCGGTAACTTTAACACATTATGGAGTTTTTAACGTTTATTTCGCGGCATCCAAACTGCTTCCGCGTTTGAGTCCCGCCCGTAGGTGGGTGCTCCGTGACGTCGAGCCAATGGAGAGCGAGCGCGTGCTTCTGCTGCAGAATGTAAACAGAGAGAGCACGTGGAGCTGCTGTCAGAAAGCTGACAGAGAAACAGTGCTGCTCACATCAGCTGTGTTTCACGTTATTAACTGAAACCTGAGATATTTAATGACACAGTGGCACTATATGAATACTACACTATATTAACACGCATAGGAGCCGTTTATAAACACTGTGACGTAATAATAATAATAATAAACTTTAT